GAGCACGCCCGGAGCAAGCGCCAGGTCCAGGCCGCCGCCCTGCCCCCGCTGATGCCCGTGCTGAACGCCCAGCTGCCCAGCAGCCAGAGGGCAGAGGTGAGGCGGGTTCCTGGGTGACGGCCCCCTGCGAGCATCTCGTCCGGTGGGATCCGAGCTCCTGCCGGTGCCGATCCCCTGACGCCTTTCGTCAGGGTGCCCTGGCCAGCGCCCAGACCGGGGACTCTTCTGTTCCTCCAGGCAGTGTCTGCCTTTGGGGGGGTCGCTGTCTCCTGCTGGCCAGCGCCCGGCCCCGCCCCAGGGGGGGCGTCATTCATCGGTGCTGTGGGCGTAGCTGGGCTCTGGGTGGCTGGAGCACATGCAGCGGTCTGCGGGAATATTCTGGGGGATGGCTCTGAGCCGGCGGGCGAGCCCTTGCTGGGGGGGCGGGGCGCTGTGCAGGGGGGCAGCGCGGAGGGGGAGGGGCGCTGCCTGGGGGCCATCCCAGCTAACCCCCCCCCCCCGGGTGTTTGTCCCCAGGTGAATTTTTTGAAGCAGGGCTGCGGGGAGGACAAGATCTGCCAGAGCAACCTCCAGCTGCGCTACCAGTTCTGCTCCCGCGTGGGCGACGCCGACTTCCTGCCCCTGCCCAGGTGAGGGGGGCTGAGCCCTGGGGGCCCAGGATGGGGGGAGGGGTAAGAGACACGTACTGGCCCCTCTCAGACTTGCCCTCCTGCCCCAGCTGGCCGGGTGGGGCTGGGATCTATCCAGGGGGCGGGTCTGGGGGCAGATCCCTGCATGGTGCCCCCCTGCTGTCTCCGGGATGCGGTGGGGCCTGGGTAGCCAGGGGTGGGGGGTCTCTGTGCTGATGCCCGCAGAGGCCCTCACCGCGGCGCTGGGCCTGCCTCTCTCCACTGCAGGGGTGCCGATGGCACGGCTGTCTTCGCCATGAGCGACCAGAAGGACGTGGCCTTGGAGATCCAGGTCACCAACCTGCCCTCGGACCCAGCGGCGCCGCAGCGGGACGGGGACGATGCCCACGAGGCCCTGCTCACGGCCACCTTCCCCGAGGCCCTGCCCTACTCTGGGGTCCGGGCCCATGACGCGTGGGCCGGGCCCGGCCTGGTACAGGACGGGGTGGGGGGCCGGGGGTGGGGGGAGGGGTTGTTGGCCCTGGGCTCTGACGTCTCGTCCTTTCCAGGAGAAGCAGCTGTGCCTGCCCAACCTGAACGCCTCGCAAGTGCAGTGCGAGCTGGGCAACCCCATGAAGCGCGGAGCTCAGGTGGGGATCAGCCCCCCAAATTCCTGACCCCAGCCCC